GTGGATCTGTTACGTTGGTAGGCAAATTGTAAGGAATTGAGGCAGGCTGGGAGACTGGAGTTGATGTGGGCCATGACCAGCCTCTCAAAGCACTTCATGATTATGGAAGTCACATCCACTGGGTAGTAGTCATTAAGGCATGTTGCATGTGCTTTCTTAGATACGGGGATGATGGTGGTCTTCTTGAAGCAGGTATGGACTTCGGCTTGTAGGAGGGAGAGTTTAAAGATGTCAGTGAATACCTCCTCCAGCTGGTCTACACAGGATCTAACTACATGGCCAGAGACACCGAATGGGCCTATCACTTTCCTTGGATTGACTCTCAGGAAGATGGATCTGATGTCTGCAGCGGTGACAGTGGGAACAGGTGTGCCTGGGGCTGCTGGGGAAGGTGACACAGCATTCTGTTTGAACCAAGCATAGAAAGCATTGAGCACCTCAGGGAGGGATGTGTTTTTGTCCATTACCTTGATCTGCTTCATTTTGTATCCCATTATGTTGTTTAAGCCTTGCCACAGGCAGTAGGAGTCTGCATGGTTGGTCTAGGCCTCTAACTTGGTCCAGTACTGCCTCTTGGCATCTCTGATGGCTTTGCAGACGTCACATCTGGATTTTATGTATAGGTCTGGATCGTCCAACTTAAATGATGAACTTCTGGTCTTCAGTAGGGAATGGATTTCCCAGTTCATCCAAGGTTTCTGGTTGGGGAACACCTGGATTGGCTTCAATGTCAGTTCTCCATGCGTTTGTTAATGAAGTCTGAGATGGTGGTGGCGTAGTCATCTAGGTTTTCCAATGAATATGGTCCAGTCCGTTGATTCCATCCAGTCACAGAGATGCTTTTCCACTGCCTCAGGCCAACATTGTATTTCTTTCTGTGAAGGATCCTCCCATTTCAGCTTATGATTGTAAGCTTGGAGGAGGAACACAGCGCTGTGATCTGATTTTCTGAAGTGCGGACTGGGGAATGGAGCGGTAGGCATCTTTGATGGTTGTATAGCAGTGGTCCAGGATGTTTAGTCCTCTGGTAGGGCAGGAGATGTGTTGGTGTACTTTGACAGCGCCTTCTTGAGGTTGGCTTGGTTGAAGTCACCAGCCATAATGAATAAAGCCTTGAGGAATTTCGTCTCCAGATTGTTTGTGGCGATGTAAGTTGGCATCTTTGTCACCTCTTCAAAAAAACTCAATTAAGTTAGTGAGACATGATTTCCCTCCATTAATCCCTAAGAACCCATTCAAAGTCATAAAACAAATAAGCAAAGTTCTGAAGAAGGGTAATTGGACCTGAAACATTAACTCTGCCTTCTCTCCACAGATGCTGCCAAATGTGCAGGCTTTCTCCAGGTATTTCTGTTTTTGTTTCAGTCCAAAGTTATGTTTCATTTTTAAGTGCTTACCTCCTTTTTCTTGCTGAATAATATCCAAGGCTAGAACTGATTTTCACAGTGAAGATTACAAGGGAGATTCCTTCCCTAAAGCCCAAGCTGGGGACATCTTAGAGCTTTCTTTAAATCCTTATAGAATCATAGAATCCCTACAGTGTGGAAACAGGCCATTCGGCCCAACGAGTCCACACTGCCCCTCCAAAGAGCACCCACCCAGACCCATCCCAACCCATCCCCATCCCCATCCTCCTACCCTTTCCCTGCATTTCCCATGTCTAATCCATCTAATCTACACATCCCTGAACACTATGGGCAATTTAGCATGGCCAATCCATCTAACCTGCATGTCTTTGGAATGTGGGAGGAATCCAGCGCACCCGGAGGAAACGCACGCAGACACGGGGAGAATGTACAAACTCCACACAGACAGTTGCCCGAGGGTAGAATCAAACCCAGGTCCCTGGTGCTGTGAGTTAGCAGTGCTAACCACTGAGCTATCATGCCACCCCAAGAAAAGTTGACCACGCAAGCTTCCAGTCAGAACTCAAAGCATTAAATCTGTGGCTAGAAATCAACTGACTTGGTCAGTATGGGAATTGAACCCATGACCTTAGCATGACTAATGCCAAGCCCTAACCATCTGAGCTAACCAACCCATGCAAGCAGAATGTTTTCAGCTGGGTATGAGCTCCCACCTGTGTATTGCATGGTAAGCAGTAATTAAGAGTTTCTCTTATTCAGAGGCAGGACTAGCTGCCTCTACATCCTGTTTTCTCTCCCTCCAATTTCTGCAGGCTAACTTGTGTCCAGGAGTTTCAGTGAAAATGTTAGAAAACCTGTTAGCGAATACAGGGGAGATCTTGATACAACTGGAAGGACTATATGTCACTGGACAAATAATACAGAGGCTCAGGCTCATGATCTGTGGGCATGTGTTCAAATCCCAGCATGGCAGTTGGTAGAATTTAAATTGAATTAAAAAATCTGGAATTTAAAAAGAAAAGTTTGTGTAATGTTGACAGTGAAACCATGGTCATCACAAATAAAATCATTTGGTTCACTAATATCTTTTGGGGATCAAACTCTGCCATACTTATCTAGTCCAGAACTACAACAACATCACCGACTCTTAACTGCCCTCTGAAATTGCTGAACAAGCCATTCAGTTCAAGGAAAGTTAAAGATGGAGAAAAAATGTTAACCTTATCAGTGATGCCCAGAAACCAAGAATGAATAAGGAACACTGCAGTGGACTTTTCCCTTCCAAAAGCTTATCTCCATGGCAACATGTTTCACAGAGGCTTTGTATTCAGTTAGAAATGATAATAGCTGCCATTTATTCTTCCTATTCCACACTATCTTGGAATTCAATAGAGAGTTTAAAGTGTAAGAGTTTAGAAAATCTTACATCCAACTGCTCCTGATCCTAATGGATTTCCATTAGCTGCTATTGGATGCATTTACTGAATGCATGGGCACTGGATGAGTCCCTGACCTCCCACTTCACACATGAGGAGAATTCAACTGGGCCAAGCTGCCTTGCCATAATGTACCCTTAAATTACTGTCTTTCCATTTACTTCTTTTAATAAGGAATATTAAATATATACCAGAGACTTTACCTTTCCTTACCCCTTGTCATGGGGTTCTTACCTTACCTGATCCTCCCAGTGATTCTTGTTCTGTTAAAGAGAACTCACCTTGCTTTCTGTCAGTAAGGCTGACTGCCTAACGCAGGGTCCTCACTTTGCCTGTTCCTCTCCTGATAAATCACAATTCCAGATTTTTTGAAATGAAATTCCACCATCTGCTATGGTGCGAGTTGTAGAGTCATCGCGAGAGAGTCTTACAGCACAGAAACAGACCCTTCAGCCCAACTCGTCCAACCAGATTGGCTTCTCAGAGCATTACTTGGGTTTATGGCTTACAAATCCAGCAACAATATCATTGTGTCAAAAGTAAACTGCTGTAGATGATGGAAATCTGAAATGAAAAGAAAACATGCTGGGAATAGTCAGCAGGGCAAGCCACGACTGAAGAGAGAAATACACAGTTAATGGTAGTGTCACTATAAATTGTTCCATCTCTGAGAAGATGAAAAACAATAAAAGACATCCCTGGCACTGCAATTTGTTACATGGTGTGGTTATTAAAGGATGATTTTTTTAAAAAAGGCTTTGCGCACTTATATAATTATTCTCAGTTGTGAATTCTTGAACAAGCTCACAATAGAGGGAGGCTGGAAAGACATATTTTAAACAAATAAATGTTTTCAGTTCTAAAATATACATTTGATACAACTATGAGGTAAACCTGAATCAAGGACATGTACTCCAAGTAACATAAAAGGATTCCTGAATATACTGATATTTCAGTGAGTTCCACTAGGTGCTGTGAGAATGAATATATTTACTTGTTATGAACCTCAGAAGTGTTGTCATTTTACTAAATACCATCAAATCTGTTATAAATAAATATTCACCCTTCTCTTTATTATACTGTTTTCTATTTGATAATTTGTTGCTCAGTACTACAGAACTTGGAAGTTGCTGAAAAGAGAGCTGTATTGGTAAAGCTTTTCCTCTTGCACTTTTCAGTACAAACACAAATTTCAAACAATCATAATAATTTATACTAAAGGAGAAAAGGGGGCTGATTTGTCAGCAAGGGGCAAAAAGCTAAACATTGTATACTTTATGGTTTCAAATAATTATTTTAACAAACACATTATCATGATCTAAATACTCCATTTGGATGTCATAGCTACACCATGGTTGTAATTATTGAGGAGTAGGTTTAATGAGTTTTTTTAGAGTGTGACAGGTTCTGAAGCTCAAGTCTTCAGCACAGCTACTGAAATGTGTTCAGATATCAGGGCCCATAGACACTTACAGTATCCAGTACGTTCAGCAGTTTCTTGATATTATGTAAAGCCCCAGATGCCTTGATTTTCTTCCCATGATATTGTTGCACTTCCAATTGAAGCACACTCAAAAATGGTAAAATATCTCTATTGTCAGTGTTGGATTTTCTTGGTGTCAGAGAGACTCTATGGAGCGGTGAAAATGGTGGTCAGATTTAATTCCAGTTTTCCAAATCCCATTCTCTGGGTTTCCCATTTTCAACCAGGATAAGGCAAAGATGGGATCAGATCATGAGCCCGAACATGAATTATTGACAATGGTGAGTGGCCAGCACCATTGGGAAGATAAGCATCTGAGGTTTCCATGGAGTTGGGCAAGGTTTTAAAGGTTTCATGATTTTTGGAACCTCAGAGGTGATTGGGAAGCTTTTGAAAGGTTTCCTCAAGGTCCTACCGTTGTCTGCACTCTAATCTATAACTCTCCACGCACTGTCATGACCCCTCAGAGCCTTCATGTTCAAGCTATGCTCTTCCACTTACCCCACAGCCCTCACATGTTTCACACCAAGCTATTCCTCTCCATACTCCATGTGAAATGGCCACAGCAATCTCCTGACTACGCATGGCAGTCAAGTTTCATGAAGACAACATGGAATAAACTAAACCGCCTAAATTGAAATGTTACCAAAAGACACAATTACTAGTTTACCCCATCAGCAATGGAACAGCCCTCATAGTTACGTGAGAATTTTCACTTAATAGAGAAGAAAAATAAATCACCTGCCTTAATCAGGCTTGATGACAAATATCTCAGACACAGAAGTACACAAAACAACTTGTATCACAAGTAACTGCTTTTGACATAACAGGGGAGATGGATTTTTGACTACAGATCTGGATCTGTCTGGAGAAAGTATTCTCTCAGCCTTTCAAGGAGGGAAAAATATCTGATGACAATACTGATCAAAAAGAAACATCAGAACACAGAACTGAAAAGATTACTGAAAGTAATCACGACTACCATGGTCTCAGGCTAAAGATTTATGCCTTAAGGATACCGTATACACAGTGTATATTCCTTTAGTTTTCTTTTTGTACCGGACAGTATCATTTTAAAAAAAATTAAACTGTGTGTACATCTGATACCATGTTTTTATTATTTTTCTCAGGTTTAGCAGTTAATAAATTTGCTGTCTCTTTCACTCAAAACAAGCTTGCAACTGGCTCCTTACCACTGCACTAGAAGTCATTTAACCACATTTTAATTGGAATTAAGTATAGCCTTGTGCAAAAAATAATATTAAATCTCGGTTGTAGCAAAGCAGGGAGTTTGAAAAGAGGGCCTACTGATTCACCCCCTCTCATCAAATGTAGCAGGATTCACAAGCTCTACTGTGTTCGTTCAATCACATCCTGACAAATCGCAAAATCCTCCTGCTCAACATTAGGAAGCTGTTATCCTCAGTCATTGACATAAACTCTCCTCTTTTGCAACTAGTCTAGTCTTTTGAACTAGACTATTTACAAGCTGCATTAAACCTTGAGCTTTATACTCCATAATGTCCTATGTGGAAAGTTACCCTTGAAACACACCACTGAACTTTGGAAAATCCTGACTAAGGTAAAATGCATATTTAAAGGATCCTCACCCCCAGATGCTTCTAATCGGATGTATCTAATTGAGACTTGAGTTACAGTGTTGTAAATACTGTCAAAGTTGCAAACCAAATAGGTTTATTGATAGGTCAGAGTGTCAGTATAAACCACCATCATATAAACAGAAAGGCTTTTAGGAAGACATTAGTGTCAGACAATAGCCCTCAGGCCATAATTTAGGTGCTGGAAAGTTAGGAGGTGATTTGGTCTCTAAAGTATTGATCCTGCAAATGGACTTGCCTTCAGACAATTGAAAACAGAAAGCTGAGCTTTGCTTTTCCCAGTCGAAGTAAAAAAAACAGAATTAGCAAGATACAAAGAATGATGAAGATTGTCCAGAGAAGGTAGGGGCACTGCTAGTCCGCCACAAGAGCCACCCCTATATGATTGCCTACTTCTTTGCATCACCCAAAACAATCACAGCAACACTCTTTGTAAAATGTGGGTATTTCACAGCATTTCTACACATTTTGCAATGAGAAAACATTCATAAATCTACAAATCCTTTGCTAGGATTTAAATTGTCCAATTAGGGTTGGCATCACATCAGTCAGTTGGGATGTGTGATTTCAGGACAGCAGTAATTCAAGGTGTGCTTGCAGCCGCCCCACTCAGAACAGTATGCAGGAAGCAGCCAGCAGTTTCTAATGGCCCTGCTACACAAATAAGTTTCACACCCATTATGTTCTCCTTATAAATTGCTTCCCCTCTTAACCCAGTATTGTCAGCAAACTGGATATGTTACATTCAGTCTGAATCATTGAGCTGGATCTTCTGATTGGCACTCATTACTGAAATGCCACTCTGCTCCTACTTATTTTACCCTGCAATGGAGGTCTGCACTTTTGGTTGGGACTTCTAAACCTCAGCATCTTTAGAAATTCAAGGTGGTCTTCCACTGAGTCCTTCTTTGTAGTGTCAAGGAAAGACAACCCAAGCTACCTTGACACGACACTAACTGCCATATTCTGGTGAGTAATCATTCACTACCACATTGCATAGCTTTAGGATATTTAAATAGCTCCTCCCTATGTTTGTGAATATAAGTGATTGAAGTAATAGGGTAGGGTGCCAGCTGGTAGGATAAAAGTATGGCGGTGTGGGGGGAGGGGGTGGGCAGTGTGAGTGGGATGCCTG